TTATGTTGTGGGTGCGGGGCGCCAAGTGGGACCACGAGGCCCGACAGTTCCCAGGATGCAGGAGCAGCTGCTGCCTGAAAATCTGCGCAGGAGGAGGAAGATCTGCTGCTGGCGCGAGCCCAGGGCTGGGGCGCAGCGGCCCCGGCRGATCATTTTCATGAAAGCTGCAATTAGGGGAAGTGGGGTTCATTAAGGGAGCGGGAGGGACGAGGCCCTGGCTGCTGGCGAGGCATAATGAGACGCAGTCTCTTCTGTTGGGCTGCAGATTCAGAAGACCCTGGCCTGGGGATCGAGCTGGAATGTTCCAGCCTCCCAGGGGCCGGGGGTGGAGGGGGGGATGAAGAGAGTCTGCCTGTAGGTGGGGCATAGCCTTTGTGCTGGGGTGTGGGTGACAGCAGCCAAGTAGAGCTCCCGTGTGGCAGGCACCTCCCCAGGTCTTCGGTGTACCACCCACTCAATGCCCCAACCCCACTGCACCACAGAGAGGACCTGGGCACAGAGAGGTCGTGGAGCAGGTCAAGGTCAGGCTGCAGAGTGGCCCTGCCAGTGGGTGAGCAGCGAGGAGGCCCGAGGTGAGCCGGCAGCCAGGAGGCGAGAGCCAGAGAGAAGCTCAGCTGCAGCGACCTCAGACAGGCACCTGACATTTCAGGGTCTGGCTTTCCAATCTGTCAAACTGGAGGCTGAGACAGGGCCCAACCTTGGATGCAAAGGGCCAGGGGGGATGTCTGGCAGGCTGTGCGTCCTGCCTCTGCTGGACCATTCGATCCGCCATGCGGCAACCTGCCTCAGACAGTGCGTCACCAATAAGCACGGCTGCGTCCCAACAAGTCACAAAGACTGCAGCTCGTCTGGCCCGTGGGTCGTGCTTGCTGCCCCAGGACTTCAGTCAGGCTCCTTTGTTCCTTTGTCTGGTTATAGTCACATTCCTAATGCTCCCCCCAGTTCACTGGCACTCCCTGGAGCGGGGGACAGCCATGGACTGGACGAGTCAGCCATGGATCTGCACTTGCGGCAATCGGGAAAACGAGCTCCTATATGACTTTCTGTTTTGAAAAAGGGCTCGCAGTCCCTCTGAGGGCTTGGAGGCTGGGGTGCAGCTCAGAGGCAGGGTGCTCAGCATGCACGAGGCCCTGGGCTCCATCCCCAGTGCGGCAAAGAATACTAGCAAATAAACCACGAAGACCCTGAAACCCAGCTGGGTGGCCTACTAGGGCCTGGGTCCCCCACTGCGCCTCTTAGTTCTTAAAGCAGAAGGACAGCTTCCCCTTGTGCCCTCCGTCCAGGCTCTGCACCTGACTCTCACCTGCACAGGGCTCCCCACCTGATGGCCCTGGTCGCCTCCAACCCACAGTAGTTAAAGCCCAGAGCTGGCCTCCAGCGTCGCCTTCTGCTGCTCCCCAGCGCTCTCCCGGTGGGGGTGCTGGCCTCGGCCCTGCTCCCCTGGCCCAGCCTTCAGCCCACGCCCTGGGCTCCTCTTCCTCTGTCCAGGTCTGCCCACCCCTCGCCCACAGGCACCTCCCTGGGAGCCACTGCTGTCCGGTTCTCTCCTGGTTCCTGCAGGTGGAAGCTATCTCCTGCCACAGGCCACAGGCCCAGCACCCATGGTGGAGCCTGTACAGGAGACCCCCTGCCAGCACCAGGTCTGCCCTCTGCCGCATTGGGTGGGAAGACCACCACCTCTCAAGGCTGCTCTACCTGTCCCACTGACTTGCCCCCCATAGCTCCTGGAAGACGGGACCTGCACAGTCACGGGCACTGCAGTGCCAGGGCCTATCTACATCAGAGGGATGGGACAGATGACATAACAGGGCCTGGAGGCAGCAAGGGGGCACCAGGTGTCACCAGAGCATCTAAGGGGCCAGGCATGTCCCATGCGGAGCTTGGGAAGATCACCTGAAGAGAGGCACCCACTTCAACAGCCAGGGCAGCGTGGGGGACAGGCCACCAGGAAGCAAGGCTGTGCCAGGCTTTCATCACAGATGTGGCTGGAAGACAACCAGATGCTCTAAGTGGATCCCAGCAGGCAGAAGGACAGAGTGCCCATGGGAAGGAGGGGCGCACCTTTCCCACAAGGTGCACCAAAGGGTTAAAGTCATTTTCATTAAAATTTAAATTTCAGCAGGCGCCCTCTCCCTTCCCTGCTTTGAAGGTCTGACTGGCAGCCATTTCCTATTCCACTCTCGGCAGAACAAATTGAATTAGGTGCTGAAACCGAGCTCAGCTCTGCTCACCAAGACCTGCGCACCCAGCCCGGGTAATCCCGTCCCGTCCTGATGCTGCCGAATGAGGGCCGCTGAGGACAACTCCCGCCTGACTCACTGGGGACCTGCAGCCAAGATGGCCCTGTGTCTACCCAGCAAGGAGACTCACCGAGGCGGGCGGGGCGACCTCAAGTCCCTGCACACAGGGGCCATCTGGCCAGGGTGGAATGATGGAGCCCAGGGTGAGGATGGCTCCGCCCACCTGTGCCAGCCTCCCACCTGCAGGTGGCAGGGGCTGTCCTCCCCCTGCTGCGTCTCATGGGCCTGTGCTCATGACCCAGGACACTCTAGCCTCTGCCCGGGGTGCGGCGGGCCTGTGTGCGTGCTGGGGAGAAGGCAGGAGACTCCCTCCTGGGCTCGCCCAGCGCCTGCCCGCCCCCTTTACATGTGCCCCTGCAGGCTGGCCCACAGCGCTGACCCAGTGTGCCCAAGTTAGGCAGCGAAGACAATGCTGCCCCCGTCCCCTGCGACACTTGGCCTTAAGACTGGGACACAGCAACKCGAGGGCACCTGCTCCCAGGGGCTGGGCCCACCTGGGGCTGGGCGCGGGCTCTGTGCAAGGAGCGAGCGGGTGCCGAGAGCCGGTCTGCTGCCCTGGGCTGGGGCACCTCCAGGCCCTGCAGACACTGGCTCCTCCAGGGCACATGGCCCTGCCCCGCCTCTGCACCAGCACAGCCTGTCACAAGCCAGAAGGGACAGTCTCCGGGACTCGCTCAACAGTAACTTAACATCAACAACAGTAACTAATATTAATAACCACCCCCCACCAGGTAGCACTCCTGAGGCGGAGGCCTGCCGTCCACCACGGTCTCCTCTTTATCCTTCAGCAAGTGCCCTGGGCCTGGGATTTTTATGCCTATTTGAAAACGTGGAAAACTGGGCTCAGAGACGGAGCCCCTGGACATTGTGACTGGCGTCTTCTAAATCAGGGCCCGTCTGCTCTGACCCCCCCGGCGGGGCTGCCACTGTCCCAACCCTGCCCTTCCCCAAGCCCCTGCCCAACCACCTGTCTCCCTCTCGCAGATGGGCTGAGGGTCTTGACCGGAAAGCCGGGGCCACGCCACTGCCTGGCCCTGCCCCCCAGACTCCACAGGCTCCTCTCTGGTGCCCAGGCGACCACTGGCTACCCTCCAGCTCCACCTCCATCCCCGCCACAGCAGGGGAGTTGCTGTGAAGCAGGCGGATGGGCTGAGAGCCAGTGGCCCACGGGTGACAATGGCAGGAAGGAGCTGGGAGCGGTGGTGGCACTAGAGACCAGGGCTGCCCCTCAGGACAGGGTGGCCAGTCCCCCACTGGGCAGACCTGAGGCTCACATGGAGGAGGGAGGGACACAGCTGTCCCAGCCCCCAGCTCTCCAAGGCCGCTGGCCCTCACCTCCCAGGGACAGTAGGGTTGTCTTCCTGGCTCCCCGCTGACCCCTGAAGGTCACAGGCCCCTGATGGAGGAACGACCCTCTCCTGCCCTGCACTGGTCACCTCGGGGTCAGGAGGCCCCGCAGCTGCTCCAGCCCAGCCCTGCCCAGCTGCCACCCTGGGCTTCACCTCAGGGCTTTCTCCCTCCACTGTCCCTCTAATTCCACCCTGCCCCCCCCCGCCGGGAGACTCCCTGACCTGCTCCCAGGGACAGCAGTACTGACCCCTCCTGCCACATGGCAGAGCCTCCCCACCCAATAGCACCCACTGGACAAGGCAGGCTCCTGGCCTTGGCCCCTCGGGAGGGTGAGGAAGCCCCTCCTCTTGGCAGGGGGACCCCAGCCCGGCTCCCCCTCACACTGGCTCCGTGACTCCATTCCAGTAACCCCGGCAATGGGGACAAAAGCCACAACCATCCGGGGCTTCCTAATTGCCGGAGCACGTGTTTCAGGGCCCAGGCCCAGGGTCACTCAGGCCCCTGTTCAGACTCCAGCCTGTCCCCTGCACCCAGAGCTGTGGCTTGGGAACCAGGCCCGGGGACAGAGGCGGGGCTGAGGCTGGGCGGGAGGGGCTATCTGTGCTGGTGGCATCTAGATGGGCTCAGGGGGAACAGGAACAACGCGGGTGGATAGGGACCCCAGGCAGGGCCTGGGCAGGAGGTAACCTCACTCGTGGGGGGAGGCCAGGGGGGTCAGACTGGGTCGGCCTGGTCCAGAGTGCGGTGCCAGCAGGTCATGCTGGCTGCCTGCAGAGGGGGGTCCTCGTGGGTGACGGAGGCCAGGGACCAGGCAGCCTGGGGCCTCCGTGGGGAGTGACTTCCTGTTTGTCTAGTGAGGCCGGGAGGCAGGGCCTGGGCCAGGCCGAGGACAGTGTCCAGCATGCCCACTGCCCCCGCGGCTCTGAGCAGGCCTGGTTGGGGCCGCGCTCTCCTTGCTCTGCTCCTGACTCGGGGTCACTCAGGCCTGGCCTGTGTCCTGCCAGCAGCCCTCACTCGCACTGGGACCCCGGAGAGGCGCCCGGCACTCTCTGGCCTCCACGACGGGGCTACCGTCCCCATTATCCTGCTTCAGCAGCAAGGAGGGGACGAGGGGGCGGTGGCGCTGGGCAGGAGCCGCCCTGGGTCCAGTGTCCCCGCTGCGCCCAGGGTCGAGCCAGGCCACTGGGCGGAGCCTGTGCCCGGGAAGCGAGCCGAGTGCCCTGCTCGAGACCCAGGCCACCTTGGACACTGGACAAGGACCGGAACCTCATCCCCACAAACGTACAGAGCGAGCTGACGAGAGCCCAAGGGGCCCTGGGCTCACCCGGGTCCCCGCCCAGCGGTCCCGATTAGGAAGCAGACGGAAGCGCGGGAACGTCCTGAGCTTTACTCCTCGGCTCGCTGACCATGGTCACCCCAATGACAGAGCAAGGACCGCGGCTCCAGGGTGCCCGGGCCTGTGGTCGACGGGCCAGGGTGGCTGCTGGGACTCAGGTGTAGGCTGCTGCCTGGCTGTCTCTGCTGGGCAGCGTCTGCCCGCTGGCCGGCGCTGGTGCGGCCCTGCCATGGGAACTCCCCTCGGGCTGCAGCGGGAGCAGACGCGCTACATGCAGGTGCCTGGCTCTGGGCAAAGCCTGGGGTCGCTGCTGGCCAGGAGTGAGGTTTGTGATGTGTCCRCAGCCCTGCTTGGGAGTGGACGCTGCTGGCGTTGGTGACAGGCTCGGCGTGGAGTCCGAGGCCTCAGTAGCTGCTCGGAGGTGTCCCTGGAGGAATCCGGGGTTCCTGGTCCCACAGATGTGGACAGCTCTGGGCTGCCTGCTCTGTTAGTTCTTCTGCTAGTCTAACCGTTCACTGGACAGACACAGGTGGGGATTCTCACACGGCAGCCCTGGTGGGAGGAAGGACAGAGGCTCCTATCTGTTCAGCCCGTGGCTGACCCTTTCATGGGCCACCACCAGGGAACGAGGTGGCATCGGGGTCAGGGGGGCAAGGGAACTAGGAGGGGTCCTCCCAACTGAGCTGGGGATGCAGGGTCCTGGCTTGGTGTGGCTCCTGCCCCTGCTCCCGGGGCACAGTGTAGCTGTGTGCTCAATGTCACCCGCAAGGCAYCTGCCACCAGGATGCCCACATGTGGGCATCAGGCCCTGGGCCGAGGCTTTATCCCCCTCCACCCTGGACCTGTGAGGTCGGGCGCACAGGGGTGGGGGGGGCTGTCCCAGCCCGGCCCCTGACCACCTACCTCTGTGCCAGCTCACAGCTGAAGTGTCTGCTCCTCGCCATCACGGTCACTGTCCTCCAGCTGCTCCAGGATCCCGTCCAACACCACAGACCGCTTCTTCTTCGGGGGCTCTGTGGGAGCCCAGATGGCACGAGAGGAGGACGCGGGGGGCGGGGAGACGCAGGTCCAGGAGGACAGAGAGAAGGAGGGGACATGCACAGGGAGGAGCAGGGGAGGCGAGGCAGGGGACATGAGGAGGGACGGAGGGGAGAGGGGAGGCGGCGTGAGGAGAGGGAAGGGCAGGCGGCCTCTGGCCCCAGCCTCTCCGGCCTCCACCTTCCCCTTCCCCTGTCCCCAGCGGGCCTCCTTCCCTTCCCTCCCCCAGGTCCCAGGCCAGCCAAGCACGCGCCAGGGCTGAGGAGACGAGCAGAAGCCACTCCTCTGACTGGAGACCAGACGCCAATGGAGTAGGAAGTGGCTGGCACACAGTAGGAGCTCAATAAACGCAGGGTGCACAGCTGTAGACCCCAGGGACCCCAGTGGTGGTGCACAGTGAGGATGAGGAGCGGCTTTGGAGAAGCGGGGACATCTGGCTTGGGCTTTGATGCAGGCTCCCCCTGACGGAGCACCTACTTCGTGCCACAGCCCTGCTCCTCTTAATGGCCCACAGTAGGTGTGCAGGGGGGGAATGAACCAGACAGGAGGCCTAAGGCTGTCCAACTAGGAAGTGGCAGAGCGTGGACTTGACCTCCAGTCACACGTAAGTCACGTCCTCTCTGCTTCTCACGACTCTGGTGTTGGCCAGAGAAGAGCCAGGAGACCACAGCAGCCGGAGCAGGGGTGCTGGTTCCCTGGCCCTCCACTTAGGAAACGGGGCAGGGAAGCTGGGCTCTACTCTGTTAGTCCTTTTACTAGTCTAACCACTCATTGATGGGCAGCCTCACTCAATTTAAGGCTTTCTTTGTACAGAGGCAGCCTGAAGAACCTCATGTGCTCCCACTCCTCCTCCTCCTCTTGAGTCTGCAGGTGCCTCGTCCCCCCAGAGCCCTGGCCTCCTTCCACACTGGCCTGGGGGCTCCCCAAGGGTGGTGTCACAGTGCTTGGCCCAGGGTGGAACATCTCGGTGCCCTTCTGGAGGCCCAGGGGGACCTGATTGAGCCATCTCCCCTGTCTTACTGTCCGTCACTAAAGGGGACGTGGCCCTTCCTGTCCACTCCACACTTAAGCCCCTGTCACCTTCTCTCTGGGAACCCCAACCTTTTGGGACCCCTCTGAACATGTGCCCCAGGCACCTGTCACCTAAGAGACCCCACGTCCTCTGGGCATCGCCTGAGCTGGCCCAGGCTGCAGCAGGTGCCCACCTGGAGCCCTCGCCCAGCTCCCTGCCCACCAACGCAACAGCCTCCTTTGTCCTGTGCACCTCTGCATCCCCAGCCAGCTCCTGGCACTGGGTGGGCTCCCGAGTTCCCTGGGGTGAGCGAGTGGGCTCAGGTGGGGACACGCTGAGCTGCCCACGGGGAGGCGGAGGAGGGCCCAGCGGCTGCACCGTCACTGTTGGCCAAGGAGAGGGACTGGGGACAGGATGCGGGACTGGGGACAGGATGCGGGACTGGCGGCCTCCTCCCCCTCCCTGCCCCTGCTCAAGGCCAGGGCCGTGCTGATCGCCATCCTCTGAGGTGCACAATGGCCTCTGAGATTGGATCCGTGGGCAGGTTACAGGCACCAGGAAATGGAAGGTGAGGACACAGGCTGCGGCTGCCGCCCACGCTCATGGCTGCCGGTGGCAGAGGGTGCCCGAGGCCTGCTCTCCTGGCCAAGTCTGGCCAGGGGTCCCAGAGCTGCAGCAGTGGGCACCGACTTCACCTCCCCAGTGTCTTCTGTTCTCTCGGCCTGAGCCCGGCAATAGTGGCAGGGACAGTCTCCTCTGTGCGTCAGCTCCTTTCCCCCGCAGCCCTGGTCCAGCAGGGTTCCTCTGCTGTACCAGCCCCAGGGGGCGAGTTAGGGGAGGTGGCAGGGCCAGACTCCAGGCTGGGACATGCACCCCAGTCCTCAGACTCAGGGGCCTGCCATCCTGAGTATGGGGGCCACCGGCAGCCTGCAATCCCCGCCCCTGGGGAAACTGGGCACCGGGACACAAGGTGTGGTGCTGTGGGCCAGGCACCCATGCTGTCTGGTCAGGAGGCTGGCTGGCCACCCCTCAGTGCGGTGCTCTGCCGGGTCCCTCTCTGGTTCAACCCTGCAGCCCCSCTAGGCGGGTCTTCCAGGGGCTCCTGGAGTAGGAGCAGGTTCCCGTCTGTTCAGGGGACAGCACCTGCTCTGCTGGTCTCCTGGGCCTCCTGGGTCCCCTTTAGTCGGCCATGGCAGGTATTTATTATTGAGCACTTGCTGGGTACCAGGCTCATGCTGGGGACAGGGCAGGGAGCAAGTGGAACCACTGGCCTGGGGCCATGCAGGGGATCAGGGAGCTGGCGGAGGGCAGCTGAGCTCTGCCCCCTGGTGGTCCCTATCTTTTCTGCCCCACCTGCATGACTCCTGCAGTGATAGACCCGTAACAACACTTCCCACAGAGGACTCAATGACAGGTGGAAAGGCCTTGAGGCCAGGGCAGCTCCAGGAGGTGCTGAGGAAATGTTAAATGTAAAACCAAGGGGACCTGCAAGGCCACTTAGGGGTTATGCAGCACCCAGCAAGGGACCCAGCTGCCCAAATTAAGGCTGCAGGGTGCAGATCAGGACCAAGCCCCCGAGGTACCCGCAGGCTCTGTGTGACTTTCCTGTAGAAATCCCATGAGCTGGTGACCACTTTTCAGATAAGGAGGCAGTGCTCTAGGCTCTGGGGAAGTCATGTGACTGCAGGCCCTTCTCCCCCACTAAGCCCAAGGATGTGCCCTGTGGYGGGCTGCACCAGCCTGACTCCTTCAGGAAGGGGGACGCCACAGGAAAGGTGCAGGACAGACCAGGTGGTGGCTGCACCTGCACAGGGTGGAGTCAGCGGGGAGCCAGGCTGCCTGTGTCCTGATCCTGGGGGTGGGCAACGGGGGTCACGAGGCCACAAGCACGGCCATTGCTACCTGGGTGTGAGGGGCTCTGGCTCCTTGACCCAGCATGGCCTGGTGAGCTTGCTTGGGACATCCTGGGAAGCAGGGGTTTGGGACACTGGATTGGCCACCAAGAGACCGGTGCTCAAGGGTGGGTGGAGACGCCCAGCCTGGATCACCAAGAGCTTATCCCGAGGCAGGGCAGGGGGCGCGGGCCAAGCCTGGGGCCTTCGGGCTTGGTCCCCTGGGCATTCGCAAGAGTGACAGGGCTGGGAGCTTCCCCGTGACGGGCGCTTTTGCAGGGGGCAAGGAAGGTGGGCCAGGAGAGGCTGGAGGGCACCCACCACCTGTTCAGGCCTTGAGGTCCTTCAGGGCTCAGGGCTCATCAGCTGGAGTCAACGTCTGCTGCCCCTGAAGGCCCTGGGTGGGGGCAGGAGATGGCAGATCTCCCTGGGGGCGAGGTGGTGGGGTGGTGGAGTCAGACAGCCTGGGGCGGCTACAGGGAGGACTCAGGACTGAGGCCAAGGGGAGGCTCACACTTTCCACCAATGGGGGGCCCCCTCTGCAGGCCAAGTGCCCCCTATGGGGGACCAGGTGGCCAGACTCGATTTTCCAATACAGGCCAGAATCTTGGTTTTCAGGCCAAATCTCTCAAGAGTAAAATACTGGTCATTAATTCAAAGTCTTTCTGGCTTTCCTACCTGTAGGTGAGATTCAGATTTGTGGGGGCCCTCGGCTGGGACCATCCGGCAGCCCCTGATCCAGAAGGTCACTACATAGTCATAAAACCCGTTTTCCGTGGTTTTGTCCCTCCTGGCCTGGCCAGCTTGCAGTCCAGATCCCTGTCCCCCACCCCCAGTGGCCAAACCTCCTTCCCATCCCGTTTCCAGCGTTCTGGTCCCCAGGCTCCCAAACTCCCGTCCAATCCTGGATGGGCCCCTGCCCCTCCCGGCYGCCCGCAGTCCTCCTGTCAGTTTAATTCTGTGATCGATGAGGAGGAGCAGAAGAGATGGCCCGGCACAGCTGGCTTCCCCGTTAGCCCTAGCAGGGACCCTGGCCTCGCCGGCGACRGCTGAGTGAAATGTTTGCGGAGCGCAGAGAACACAAGTCAATAACAATTTAGCTGGATTGGGAGCAGGCACCTCGCCGCACGGACAGGAGCTCCCAGGGGAGGGCGGAGCGTGCCCAGGATACTGCAGAAGCGCCTGGAAATATTTCCCAAACACCACCCAGCGAGGCTCAGGGCTGGGGGTGGGTGGCTGTGCGCACCTGCTCCAGCTGGCCTCTGGGCCCCCAGAGTCCCCACGGCCAGCCAGACACCCTGCCTAGGCGCTGCCTCGACCCAAACAATTCCTCTCTGATTTTCCTGATTCTGCCTCCAGCGGCCGCGGTGGCCACAGGAGTGGGGACAGCCCAGGTCTCCTGCTGGTCTCGCCCTCCTTGCCTGGGAGGGTCCCCTCTGCCCTCCTCCTGCGGGGCCGCGCCAAGGCCTGAAAGCGGCGGCTCTCAGGAAGCCTGAGGTGGCTGGGTGAGCCACGACACAGGGATCTTTTGAATAATAAATCCTGTGACTTCACATACTTGCTAGAAATTTCCTGACCATGATTTTAAAGCCTGATGATCATGTCTCCACGGTCAAGATCAAGGAGGCCTATCTGCGAGGGCTGGCGTGAGGACACCAGGCTCTCTTGGTCCTGGTCTTCTGAAAGCGTGCTGTCCTGTGGGTGACTGGATCTGGGAGGGCTTGCGGGAGCCGCTGGGCTCCACATGTCCCCTCCATGCTGTCGGCTCCACATTCATCCCTCAGCCCCGACTTCCTGTGAGCTCCGACTCGCATGTCTCTGGTGATACCCAAGGTGGCCAAACAGGTGCCTGGAACCCAGCTGGCTCAGAAACCCACCACACACCTGTTCTTCCCAGCTTCCCAGGGGCTCCTCTCGTGGGCCCATGGTGCTGGGGGACCCGGAGCCAAGACCTGGGCATGGCCTTTGCTCTCCCTCTTGCCCTAGGAGCCTGTCAGCGATGCTACCTTCTCCAGAAACGCACAGTCCACCTGCTTCTCCTGACCCCCGGCCCTGCTCTGGTTACTGTCCTCACTCCGACCTGCACCCTGTGCCTCTCTAACACCACCCCACACAGCAGCGAGGAGGAGGTCTGACCGTGTGAGCCTGGCCCTGGTACGCGCCTCCCTTCTCAGACCTTCTCAGACCTTCCCACTGCACCCTTAGTGAAAGCCAGGCTGTTCCTACCACTTCCCACGCTGGGCCTGCTCTCCAGCTACTAAGGCCTGCTCTGAACAGGCTCCTGCCTCAGGGCCTTTGCACCTGTGGTTCCCTTCCAATCAGATAAATGGTGCCTCCCTGGAAGGTTTCTGTAAGTCCCCCAAGGAACAGAGTGAATCATGCGGTCTACCTTTTCTATTTCCCGCATAGGACTTGGTCACTATGGTAATCACATCTCTCTGTCCTGCTCCAGGGTCAGCTCTGTGCCCACAAGTACCAGGACAACCAGGTGGGTAGAGCGAGAAACAGAGCCAGGGGCCTGGGGCTGGGCAGGACAGGGCAGGGGAGGCAGGTAGGAGGTTCCAGAATTATACGCAGAGGAAGGACGGTCATTTTAGGAGGAATTGGCCACCAGGGGCCTTTGGATAAAGCAAGGGCAGCCAGCCTGCAAAGCCTCGCGGCTGTAAACTTCTAGTGAGGGGCCAGGCAGCGAGGACCCGAGGCTTCGTGGGCAACAGGTCTCTGCCACAACTGCTCACTGCCCCTGCAGTTGAGAGCACTGATGTGCAGGGCTGCCTTCCAATAAAACTATTGGAAGGGGAGCCAAACTCTCAACTGCTTCCCTACTGGACTGGGAGCCTGGGTTGGCCAGAGCAGGGCACTTGGAATTTAAGGCATGCTGAGAAGGGTTATCTGCTCCACTGGGTCCAGAGCTGTGTGCCCTCAAGCAAGCTGGGAGACCTCTCTGGGCCTCAGTTTGCACCTATGTAAAACTGGAACAGCACCTCTCTCTAGGGAGTCGTGAGGCTCACATCTGAGATGCAGAATGTAAAACCGCTGTGGGTTCCTCTCTGCACAGAGTAGGTCCTTGACAAAGGCCTCTACTAAGAAGTCACACGCGCATGCCAGTAATCCCAGTGCCTTGGGAGGTAGAGGCAGGACTGTAAGGTCGAGACCAGCCTGGACAAGAGGCCGAGAGACCCCACCTCCAGAGAGCAATGGGAAGCGCTGGGGACGCAGCCGAGTGGTACACAGAGCTCCGGGTTCAATCCCCAGGACGAGAGCGAACGGAAACAGAACGTCCGGTGGCCGCCTGTGTTCAGGTCGGTGCAGCTTCAAGGAACAGGCAGGAGCACATGGCTTCAGTCAAAACAGCTCCAGTGCCAGCTGCGAGGCCGAGGGAGCCCGGGCTGGGTGCCCCTGGCACGAGGGGGGCATCAGTGGGTGGTGCCAGCACACGCCAATGCTGGACTTGGTCGCCCCGTGCTGGCCTGGTGCCCGTCCACACCACGCCAGCAGCCCTGCAGCACGGGAGCTGTGCTGGACACAGGGCCCACAGGCCCACAGACAGGGCCTCGTCCCCAGAGGGAGGGCAGACTGGGACGCTGGGGGACAATGAGGCTGGTGTGGGAGTCCCCTCCCTGGCTCTGTGCTGGAGGCCAAGGCCTGGCCAGGACAGCCTCCCCAGTGCCCCAGGGAAGCGCTGGGTCTCCAGCCTGGCTGGCCCAGCCTGCTCGGGCGGGCGGGGAGGCACTGGCCACTTGCCACGTGGGTCATGTCTGCGCTCCTGGCTCCGGAGGGGAAAGGCACAGTGCTGACCGCAGCCCATCGGTCTCCCCAGTTGGAGTAAGACACCTCGGAGGCCCAGCCTCACTCCCGGCCCAATAAAAGCCTGTTTGCCTCCCCAGCTGGTGTGTCCCCCACCATTATGTTATCTTGCAGGTACCGCGGCCCGCGGAGGGAGGCCCTGGAAGCTTCTCGATGCTGCGACCCTACTGGCTTGGGACACACKTGGGAAGAAAAGGACGCAGCAGCAGCAGCGGGCTCTCCTCTGACTGCCTCCCTGCCCCCACCCCTGCCCCGACTCCTGAGGTCTGAAGAGCGCACTTCACCCAGTGGGTGAGAGGCCGGGGAGGGAAGAGGGACAGGGGAGAGGGGGCAGGACGGGGGGGGACGTCCGGGGCTGTCCCTTCCCTTAGCTCTACTGTCCAGGTCAAGGTCTTGGCCTACGCGGGGCACCTTTCAAAGTGACCTCCAGGACCTGCCCCTGCTGTTGGACTTCACAGATGCAAGGGGGGCTCTCACACCTGCGGGGACAGGGACGGTGGCGAGGCGGGGTGTCCCTGGAAGGGCGGGTCGGGTGGAAACTGGCCCCCCTGGTCACCCACAGGCAGCCTGGTCTGAGCTCTGGGTCCCCCAAGCTGATGACGAGGCAGGACAGTGGCCACTCCACCTGACCAGTCCTGCTGCGTACGGAGCTCCTACTATGCGCCAGGCTCGGCTGCTGGCTCCATGCAGGTGACCAGGTGGAGCGCCAGCCTGGGCACCACTCCCTGCTGTCTACCCCGCTGCCCTCCAGGTGAGGACGCAGGACTCCTGCATCTCGCCCTCTGCCCACAGTCAGCCGGGCTGGGCGGGAGGTGGGGAAAGCGGGAGTGGCCATGAGAGGAACAGTGCAGCTGAGCATCCTCACCCTCCCCTCCAAGCCCCGAGCGAGGGCCACCTAAGCCCTTACACAGACAGCAAAGATGAGCACGCCGGGTCAGGGGACAGGCATGAGGACCCGCGACCAAGGCTCAGTCAGCAGGTGGCTCAAAGCCAGGCTTGAATCCTGACTGCCATCAGCTGCTGGGGGCCCTGAGCAAGTGATTTGCCCTCCCTGTGCCTTGGCTTCCCCACCTCACGCGGGAAACACCAGGGTCGTGAGGGCTGATGCCTGTGGAGGCACACAGCCAGCCCCCGGGCCCACGTCAGGCCCAACAGGCTAGTTGCCCAGCAGTGACCACGAGCATCACACAGCTTGCCAATCAGGTGCCGGCCTTCACCTGGGCTCCTTGGGGATGAGGGAGGCTGGTAAGGGGGGGCTGCATGCTCCGGGCCCTCAGGTTTTCTGTCTCCACAACGCCACCCAGGTCAGCGGCTGGGCTGAGAAACAGAAGCCGAGGGCAGGGCAGACTCGGGTGCCTCAGGCTGGCTGCATGGGCTGCAGTGAGGACCCCACTCGTCTGCTCTGGCCACCCACTGTCCCCGAGGACTGCTCGCTGGCCCCAGTGTCACGGCTAAGACGCCTGCCTTCCGCTCCCTCCGCGGGAGTCCTCTGTCCAGCTTCTGCTCGGCAGCCTCCCCCTGAGCTCCGAGTACCTTCCTGGCAGACCTCAGGCCAAAGCCAGGGCCAGGGCCAGGGAGGGAACTGGGCACGGATCCCGCCTGCCCAGAGCCTGCCAGGGCCTGCAGGCTCCGAACAATGTGACTTTGACACAATGAGCTGGGTACTTTTCCCCACAGGAAAGGGCACAGAGGGAACATGGCCCTGCCGGGAGGGCTGTCGCCAGGCTCCACACAGCACACACCCTGCCTGGCGGTGGCCTGCGCCTAGGACCCCAGTGCCCTAGTCGGGTGGGGAACTGAAGGTCCCAGGGGTCACAGTCACCTCGCGGGTGGGTGACCCCAGTTTTCCCATCTGCAAAACGCCCACTTCAGAGGCCGTGGAGGGTGGGGACCGCATCCCGCAGGGTTCATGGCAGGGCTGTGATCGGCCCCTATGGCTAAGCCACCCCCAGGGCTGATCCGTGGAGCTCAGCTTACTAACCGGGCTTCTCTCCCACCAGGGCAGTAGTGGGGGCAGGGGAGGGACAGTCCCTTACACAAACATTTGCCGACGGTGCATTCAGGCCTGTCAATGCCTGTCGATAGGGACACGTTCCTTTTCTGCACGTCAGGACTTGGGGACTTACTGAGATCGAGGTTATGTGCTGGCCTCTGTGTCTCTGGTTTCACATTCGTCCTGGCTCAAATGTCCCCAGCCTTGGCGAGGGCCTGGCCTGCATCAGGGACCCAGAGGGGAACCCGAGACCCACAAAGATGGGCACAACAGCCCCATATGGGCGGCGTGGGTTCCGTGAGGACAATGAACCACAGAGGCCACCACAACAGGGCGAGAGACAAGAGGCACGGGGAGGGCAGGCGTCCAGGATAAAGAGGGACCAAGGGGCAAGACACCATGGTACAGAGGACAGAGAGGCACAGTCAGGCCCTGCCTGGGTCTGGGAAACAGCGTGGGGGAGCAGTGGAGTAGGGCAGCCAAGGTCGGGCAGGGCGGCCTCTGTAGGCCTGGCAGGTGGGCCACACCCGAGGCCTCCGGCTGCCGCTGGGTTCTGAGGACGTTCTGGGGTCCAGTGGGCTGTCAGAGGCCCTGCTCTCCAGCCCCAGCTTCCCTGGCCAGCAGCAAACAACTGCTCCTGGCTCCAGGTCCCCTTGGCCCTCAGCTGCCCCCCAGGATGGGCCTGAACGACAGGCAGAGACACAGGAAGGCACGTGCCCCAGGACAAGGAGGAAGACTGCAGGCACCTCAGCACCATGGTTGGCCACAGGAGGGATTGTCCTGGCTCCATCCGGGAGCCTGGCTCCCCAGGCAGAAGGGAGAGGGTCTGCACTCCCTGCCAGATGACCCGTTCAACAGACCAGAAGGGGAAAGAGAGCTGGCACCTGTCCTTTGTCACCTGGCCCCAAAGTGAAGGCACCCGAGAGGAAAGGGAGGCCTCCAGGGGCCAGCCTCCTGCCACGGAGACAGGAGGGTGATGCCCGGCACTGGGTGCGGGGGGCCTTGGTGGTGCTCTTGAGGCCCAGCCCCTCCTGCCTTCCAGGAAGCCCCGGTTGAGGCCCAGTCCCCACGCCCTCCTACCGTGGAAGTGCTCGGCCGTCTTCCGCCGCAGGGCCTGCAGGGTCACCTCGGAGTCTGCCCACTCCAGGACCAGCCTTCGGCCGTACAAGTGGGTGCTGTGACACAGGGCATTGAAGGCTCTCTGCAAGGGACAAGAGACAAGGCAGTGCTTGAGAACTGAGGCCTGATGATGCGGGGCTTGGGGCCGGTCTGTCCGTGAGTCGTTGTTTACAGGGACGCTGCGAGGGCACGAGCACCATCACAGCCTGCGTGGGCTGCCTGGCGCCTGGCTAGGGCCTCTCTCCTGCGTTACGCACCCTATGCACAAGGTGCTCCATTAGCAGGCTCCCCGCCCCCYGCCCATCAGCCACAGGAAGCCCAGCTCCATCTTTCCCCCGCATGACAACTGTGCAGCCCTGTGTCACTTGGTGCCACTCTCCTTTGTGGGCCCCAGTGGCCCTGGCTTCCACATTGTTCTTCAGTAAGTCCCCTGTGGTTTCTGCTGACTCCTTGTGAGTCCCCTGCCCTTCCACTGCCCGTGCCCAGCCCTGGCCCTGCAGCTGGGGGCCTGGCACACGCTCCTCCTCTCCCTCCTTGCTGTTCGGACTTCCACACTCGGCCCAGTTCCCTGACTTTACGTGCAGGACCGCATCAGGAAGGCTTCCTGTAGGGTTTCTGCTTTTTGGGTCCTGGGAACTGAACCTAGGGGTGCTTCACCACTGAGCCCCGGCCCTGTTGACTTTTATTGTGAGACAGGATCTCATTAAGTTRCTCAGGGCCTCGCTAAATTGTGAGGCTGGCTGTGAACTTGTGATTCTCCTGCCTCAGCCTCCAGAGCTGCTGGGACTGCAGGCGTGAGCCACAGCTTCATGATCCGGGCGATCAAATCCCTGTCTCTGGATGGAAACATCAGTGTGAGCCAGCGCGGGGCTCGGGAGACAGAAGAGGTGACGTGAACAGTCCCAGGACAGGGTGGGGCTCACAGGGGTGGTCCCAGGGTCAGTTCTCTGTGCCCCTGATGTCACCTCATCCTTTTCTCGGCAGAGATAAGGGAGGTGCTGGGTTTGAAGAGGCCCAGGCCCAGGTGTCCCCGACAGGGTTGGAGAGTGAGAGGGGCCAGTGCTCTGCACTGGGTCCTGGACAGCAGCCCTGGGACCGGACGAAGAGCGGGTTCTGTCCCTCCTGCTCCCCTGAGCCGAGACGCCTGGAAGCCGGGAAGGCCTTGGCTCTCACCCACGAGGAGTCTGGACAGTTGACCTGTGTCGGGGCCACCCCAGGGCTCAGGGACAGTGGAGGACGGTGGGCGCTCATCCGGCAGGAGCTGTGCCACCAGGGGTCCGCTGCATGGAGGCAGGCTGAGTGACGAGGCCACAAGCCGAGGACGCCAGGCACTGTGGATGTCGCGGAGGTCCTCCAAGGACCGGCCCTGCTGACCTCCACTGTGGACGCACAGCCTCTGGGGCCCACAGAGGGTGCCCTGAGGTTGGTGGAGCTGCCTGGGGCAGGAACCTCGTCCCACAGTCCCAGGAAGCAAGTGGTGACACCACCGGACCTTGCCCCGCCCTGGTTACCTGGTCACCTCTGTGAAGGGGCTGAGGGCAGAACTCACCCAAGATACCCAGTGCCCACCCGGGAGAGGGAGGGACGGGAGGGGCAGAACGTAGCCCTGAGCACAAGTGGCCAACAGAGGGATCGTGCGGTTCTGAAGAGGGACAGGTGCGGGGAACTGCGTCTTCCCTTTTTTTTAACTTTAATTTAAAAACCCTCCTGGCAGCCAGCAGAGCCTCTGCGCTTTTTCCAGGCGGATATAAAAATGCATCTGGACTCGGAGCCGAAATGGCCCATTCCGAGCTCTAAACACACACGCTCTCAGCTGGCGAGGAAGAGAAACGGCCTGGTGGGGGAGCGGGGCTTGGAGGGGGGAGAGGAGCTGATGGGGAGCCTGGCATGGTGGCGGTGCATCCTGGTGCCAGCGTCACTGAGGAGCGCGTCTGGGATATGGGGGTGGGGGCGGCCGAGAGCAGCATCTGCTGGATTCTCAGCCTCAACCTGGAAGAAGGCGAGGAAGCCGGGGAGGCGGCCCAACAGGCCCAGCCTCTGCCTCCTGTGGCCTCCCGTGTGCGCGCCTTACCCTGGGAAACAGTTCTCACTCCTGGGCCTGGAGGATTGGTGTGGGTCCCTAAACCGTCTCCTGGCTCTCYGACGTTGCCCCTGACTGTTTCCATCCCCTCTGAGCTCCTCCGGCACTTAATAATGGCCTCTCTTTGAAAGGCTTTCAGGCTCACGGAGGGGTGTTGGTCAGCCTGGGATGGGCTCTGTGGCTGGTTAGCTGGGTTCAAATCCCTGTTCACTRTGTGATGTTGGGCAAACTGCTTAACGTCCCTGAGTCTCAGCTTCTGCCCGTGGAAAGGAAAGGCAGCAGCAGTGAATGGGGAGGGTCCTGCTGCAGGCCGCTGTTGTTGTGCGTTGGACTTTTCACTGCCACCACAGAGCAGGGGCAATGGTAGGTTGACACACAGCTCTGTGTGACAGTTAGCACACAGTATGTGGCTCTCCAAAAATAGCAGAACCATCCTCCAGTTCCATCCCCGCAGGTTAATGGGAAGTCAGGCTGCGTTCCCGGGTGCCCACGGCCTTGGTGGCTGGAATCTGGTGGCCTCAAAATGTTGCAGGCAGCGGGGAGGACACTGATTCCAGGCTAAATCTGGCCTTGGATAATCCGGAGTGACTGGGCTTCACTGAAGAACCGTAATGAGAATGTGTTGGGTGGCAGCTTGCGGGGGTGAGGGGGGGCACAGAGAAAGAAGACGGCCCAGGCTCTAGGGGACACCGAGGCACAGGAAGGTGCCAGGCAGGGCGGGGGAGTGCAGGTCCCCTGTGACAGGCCAGGTCTGCCAGCTGCTTCCTCCTAGGCTGAGCCCATTGGGCCACGGCCACGTCCCCACCTTCCTAGGGTCAGCTCAGGGTGGCCTGTGCCCAGCAGCCTTGGTCCCTTGCAGGGCTCGGGGCTCTTGCGGCTCAGCCCCACTGAGGACCCCTTGGGCTGCCTCCCGCCCTGGGCTGACGCTCTCCTGGTGTCATGATCTCCTGGCTTCGAGGAACTGCGAGCACTCGGCCCCAGCTCAGAGAGGACTCTGTCTTTCCGTTGCAGCGAAGGGGCCGGGCCCACGCAGGACCCACACAGGCTGGCTTCCTCCTTCCTTGGGTTTCGGTGGCTCCACGTCCCACCCCTGGCTCAAGCCCTGGAAGCTGCTCCCACGCACACACCTGCCGCAGACCAAGAAGGCCCCACCCTTCTCCCACGGGCTGCAGCAGATGCCTGCCCAGTGCCCAGCACACCTGGCCTCCTCCTGGCAGCTACTCCCGGGCCTGGCCTTGACCCCTGCAGGGAAGGCGCTGTGTCCCTGCCACCTCAGTGGTGCACTGTGCGCAGAAAATAAATACCCAGAGGGACCGTGGCTTCTCACTGAGGGTCTCTTGCCGGATCCCTTGCAGCCTCACCCCTCAGCCCGCCAAGACGGGACAGGCCAGGAGCACATCAGCACTGGGGAGCGAGTCTGGGACCCTAACTGGACACATAGCCCTGGTCTGGCACTGCACCCAACGTGCGCGACTGTGGACGGGGACTGTGACCCATGCTGCAGGATCGAGAGACCGAGCCCCCGCTAGTTTGCTGGGCAAGACTAAGGTCCAGGATGGAGCTCTGAGTCTGTAGTCGTCGGCAAAGAGAAGGCCACGGGGGGCCACCCTGTCCCTGGGAGCCCCTTCCTGTGGTTTTCTGACAGCGGATGCTGGCCATTCCCAACTACCCTCCGCCGCCCCCCCCCACCCCCGCCCCGGTAGGAGGTGACTCCTGGGCCCCACGGCAGGGCTCATACACGCGGGTTTCTGCTCAGGTGAAGTGATGAGGGCCCAGCTCACAGGTGGGACAAGGTGGGCACTCCTTCCTTCTTGGCCCTCACCTTTCCTCCAAGGGTCCTTTGCCTAAGTGAGGTGACAGTTCTCCACTATCACTGGTCCCTGGTGAGTCCCTCAGCTCTACTGGGCCCACACACCTGTCTGCCTTTGAACTGCAGCCATGTGCGTGCTTGCGTGCTCTGACCTTGACCCTGGACCCTGACTCCCTGGGCGCCTGAGCTCCTGGAGGGCAGGTGGGGCTCCTCTCTAGGCAGCAACTTGAGCCCTGGGAGAATGGCAGCCCCTGGGCACACTGACCACAGCTGCCCAGAAATCCTGGCCTTGGCTCTCCTCTGAGTGGGGCACGGCCCACAGGTCTGGGGAACCAAGTCTCCCGCCACCTTGTCCGAACCCCACGACGTCAGTGGTGTAGGGTGACGGTGCAGGTGGACTATGGCCATCTTGAAGAGCAGGAGGCCCTGGAAGCTGCCAGCGCCGCAGGCCTGACCTTTCCACAGCCTCCCTGGGGACACTCTCCTCCTCCCAGCAACAAAAGCCCTACTGCACGCCCTTGGCGGACTTCAGTCCCACGGGGCTGTGAGGGCTGCCTGGCTCCTGGGCAGAGCCGGGCATGGATCCTGTCCTGATGCCCAGGGTGCCCTCCAGGCCCCTCCGGCTCCCTGGGGAGCTGTCCTGGCAGAGCCCGAGGGAACACAGGCCACGCCAACGTGAACCCAGCCAGCAGTGACCTGCCCCTGAGCTGGCTAAGGATCAGCCCAGGGCCACCGACTTCTGGGGGATGTTCTGATGTCGCCCCCCCACAGTGAGTACGGTAGGTGCTCCGGGACAGACCCATTCCCTGTGTCCCACACGCCAGGTCCTGAGAGCCACCTCTCAGCAACCCTGCAACCCCTGCCAACCGCTCCTGGCCTGCATGGAGGGAGAAATATCTCCCGGTTTGTGGGGTCTGTGCACAACAAAGAGTGACTATGGGCCCTTCTGAGAAATGACACCATGTGGCGGAGTGCGCTTCTGAGACAGATACCCACAGGCCTGGCCCCAGCCTGTGGCTCCCAAACCATCTCCCTCCCACAGTGGACTCTAAGGTGACCAGGGCTGGGAGAAGCCTGCTCCAAGCTCCCTGGGATGGGGGCAGGCGTGGGGCCTGCACCCTGTGGCTCCCTCGGTGCCCACCCCTGGCTCGGGGTGGGGGGGGTGGTGAGAGCGCGGGAGCCGCCAGCTGGAGGACCCCACAGTCGACCGCGCTGTCTTCCACAGTGAGAGGAGGCGGCTGCCAGCGCCCGCCGCCATGGCGCTCGGCTCCCCCGCGTGTTTATTTAAGCCGACACATTGCTCTGCTAATTGGATAACATTCCATGTGAAAATAGACCTTTTAAAACAACAGCAGCGGCGGCAAATAAAAACAGCTGCAGCCGCAGAAGTACAAAGGCGCGGCCGGGGAGGAGGAGGAACCTCGAGCAGCTCGCTCTTCCCCAGGCTGCCCTCCCCGTGGCCCTTTCTTCCTTCCTCCATGACCGCTTGGGGGACGGGGGCTTCTAAGAGGAATCCCAGTGGCCATTGGTGGCCACTCAGCCAATGGGGACCTCGCTGGGAGCCCTAGTACATGTGGGTTGGTTCCTGGGCTGGCCTCAGGCTTGGCCAGGGGGAGGCAGGGAGGTTGAGCCTCTGCAGGGAGGCATGAGGAATGCCACCCCTTCTCTGGGGGCTGGAGAGGCTGTTCTTAGAGATGCTCCCAGGGACAGCCTCTGGCCTCTGTCAAGGTGTCCCTAAGAGGTGGCACAGAGATGGCACTGGGTTAGGGGACCCCACAGATGAGGCGGGAGGGACCACTGTGCCCAGCTAGTAAGCCCTGGCTGTGGGCCTGTGAGCAGGACGCAGGCCTTRGGGCCTCCGTGTCTCCAGGCGCAGAGGCCTCCTGCCCCGTCCTGAGTCCTGCTAGGATTAAAACACGACGCTTGTGGTATCCAGTGTATCCTGCTGAATGCAGGACTCTGGAAGCCCGCCAGTGTTTTCCATCAGAGACCTCCCCGTGCCTGGGGGCAGCAGTGGCCCAGGACCTGGGGAGGCCTCTGCATTCAGGTCCGGGTGGGTCCTGGGCATCCTGTGATGCCCCCTCGGCCCCTCAGCCCCSGTGTCCTGCTCCCTGGCATGATGTGGGGAGGATCTTTAAAAACGCTGGGTCTTCACACCTGGAGGTCTAGCTGACACCAGCGTTGTCGGGGGACTGGCATTCACTGCTGGGGACATCAGGGCTCCTAAGATGTCCTGTGCTGGGAGGATCTGCCAGCTCGCCATCCGCTTCCTGTGGGAAGGGCTCCGGACACTAAGCCTGTGACAAGGGTGGATGGCCTGGGCCTGCCCGTGGCAGGGCATCAAGCAGCTGGGACTGGGCTGCCCATCGGCCCYCAGGCTCCACGGGGCGGCTGAGCTCAGCTCGCGCTCCCAGGAGTCGGGGCAGGACCCGGGGGAGGAGGGAGCTGCTGAGAGACGCCCCTGGGGTCCCAGGTGCCCTGCGTGAGGGGCCACGTCTCGTGCCGAGGTGGCACCCACAGGTGCCTGTCTGTCCCCATCTTTCCCAGCTGCCTGGGTGCTCTGAGCTCAGCCCCTGCAGCCTTCAGGGGGCCCCTCTCCAGGGTTCTGTCCAGTCTGGGGCGTGCCTGATGGGGGAGGGGCCGATAGATCTGAGTCCCCTCGTGTATGAAGTGGGACTGGGTCTCTGGAGAAGGGACAGAGGACCCAGAGTCCTTTCCTTGTTTAAGGATGACAAAGGCAGCCCCTGCTCAGGGCCACTGTGGAGACTGATGTGGAGGGGAAGGGACACCGTGGGACTTGCCTGGGGCAGGTGAGTGGACGGGCAGCTGCTGGGGGAGTGCTGACCTGGAGCTGACCCCTGGTCCCCGACAAGCCTGAGAGCTCCATGGCCTCGGCTCCAGCCCACGTGCCCACTTGTACAGGGGCTCCCAGCCAGGTCCCCATTGGCTGTGTGGTCACTAATGGCCACTGGGATTCCTCTTAGAAGCCCCTGTCCCCCGAGCCTGTCATGGAGGAAGAAAGAAAGGCCTGGATTGCCCTTCCCTTCCCTCTTCTCTGATCCTCTCCCCCTGTCCAAGGATCTCTTGGGACCAGCCTCTTGACATAAGAAGTGGCAGATGCCCAGTGACCACCTGCTGCCCCTCACGAAGGGCACCCGAGCTGCGCAAGCTGCAGAGGGCATGCAGTCAGGGCCTGCACACTGGCGGGGCTTCTGCAGCAGGACTGGCCCCAGGGCTTCTGCTGGGCGGCAGCTCAGGCAGTGTGGCCGGGGCGGGGCCAGGAGGCTGCTCTCGGGAGGTGACAGGATACTTGGCTCCGAGGGCCCTTCCTCAGGCCCATGCCTGTGAGCTGGCCTGGTGTTCGGAGCATCCAGAGCAGGAGTCACTCGCCCACTACAGAGCATGGTCCCTGGGTTGGGGTGGGGTGTCCGCCTGGACTGCAGACAGGCCGGGAGGACGGAGGAGTGAGGCGGCTGTCCCCATGAGGCAGACAGAGGGGCTGTCTCTTAAGAGCTGTGGCTGGCACTTTCTGGAAGTGGCTCATTAGGTGTGGGGACGGTGAGGGCCTGTGCCGGCGCAGGGAGGGAAGGGCTACAGGCCCATGGGGGTCAGAAGCAGCTGCTGGCGGAGGAGAGGGTGGGACAAGGCACCCCCAAGGGCCAGGGGGCCTCCCTCCTTCTTCCAGGAACCAGGAATGGAGGCAGGGAAGGGATGGTGGGGAGCAGCCGCCACCTCCAGACTCGAGTGCCGTGTCACGGTGACCCCAGCTCAGGCTAGAAGGGGGCATCTTGCTCCCTGCCCTTCCCCATACCTCTCCCTGGGTCACCCCGTTGTAGCCACCCCTGCATCACCCTCATGGCCAACAGGAGGCCGGGCTGGCCTGTTCCCGGAACACCCGGCACCCAGGCCCCAGGCCACTCTGCAAGGAACTGCCACCACGCCACAGGGGAAGGAGGCGCAAAGCGGGCCGCTGGCCCACGTTCACATGGCGGCGACGTAGCACTGGGATGCTGACTGGCAGTCTGGCCTCGTGGTTTGTGTGCCAATCTCCCTTGCTGGCCACAGCCTGCTGGGGTGTTTCCCAGGCCCATTCGCCTGGTACCAGCAGCCGGTGGAGCCACACCTATGCCCAGCGCCAGGCTCCACGGAGGAAACACACCCGCAGCCCCCAGGCAGGGTGGGCGCGGCCATCGGTGATCCTGCCGGGCCGCACAACTGCCCTCTGCCGCCTCCCGTGCTACCCCTGGCCTGCTGCCCGCAGGGCTGCACCTCAGACCCTGACGGGAGGCATTGAAAGACTGCCAGCCCAGGAGGGAGGAGCAGGCGTTCAGACGAGCGTGGTCACAGCCCAGGCACCTGGTGCAAGGCTTGGGGACAAAGGCTGGCAGGACCCTCCGGGGTGTTCCCAGGGCCTACAGGGGCTGATCCGGAGCTGCACCTTGGGCTCCATGCCCGCTGACCCCTAACTGGGACCCTCGTGACGCCGCGGTGCATTCAAGAAGCTCCTGCTTTCTTGAAGGACTCCCCGCCAGGGCGGAGGGCACAGGGCCACCAGCACAGCCTCCCTGCGGCTTCCCTTCACCTCGAGGGGGCTGAGGCCAGAGCTCCCAGAGGGAAGTCCATGGCCATGGCCCTGCAGGCACCTTTCTTCTGGAGCTCGGGGCTGAGGGTGCAGTGATCAAGGACACAGCGGGGACGCCTGCTGGTGGCAGGTGAGAACCCGGCACCCACAGCAGGGCCAACTTGTACCCAAATTCGGAGCAGAGGCCCCACTTCAGAAGGCCAGGGCTGGGCTCAGTGGTAGAGCCCTGCTGGCCCATGCAAGGCCCTGGGTCGAGTCCTCGGCACCACAAACCTCTGACCAGCCAACCAAGCCTGGCGGGAAGGCCACAGGGACGCACACAGTGTGCATGTGGGCCCACCGGGGCTGCCTCCCACGCACAACCAGCACCAGCCACAGCCTGGCTGGGGCGTGAACGTGATGGGGAGACGTGTCCCCATGGGCCGCCCCTGGCACCTTCTGCTCTTCTCTCTGAGCACCTTTCCACACAGCACATTGCCCATCTTGGGGACAGCTAGATGGCAGAGCCCTCTCTGGTGTGCAGAGGCCTGGGAAACCCGCAGCCCAGGCTCCTGTGTGGGTGCAAGGGAGCAGCCCTGTCCCATGTCACAGACGCAAACCCAGAGCATTCCCTCCTGAAGTGCAGCATGAATTAGCACCATCAGGAAAAGGGACACAAGCTCGGGAGTGGCGTGCGCTGCACTGAAGAGGCCTCAAGCCTTCCCCAGGGTCTCACCTTGGCATCCTGCTTTGTGAGGAAGTCCACGAAGCCGAAGCCCCTGTGCGTGCCTGTCCCGGTCATCTTCTTGGGCAAGCGGACCGTCTTCAGCTCTCCAAAGGTGCTGTGGACAGAAGCAGATGGGGTCTGAGCGCAGGGGCCTGCAGAGGGTGGGGTGGCTGGAGGATGGTCACACGTGCACCCAGGCCAACGCGGCACACCCATCAGGCCCAGGGTGGCTCACACGGGGAGGTCATTTTCAGCTCCACTCCAAGAAGCTGCCGGCTGGGGCACCCCGTCCTCCCCTTCCTGACGGGGAAGCCAGTCCCGGGGGGACCCAGGCTTGTGCCTGGGTAGCCAGGCCAGAGAGGCCCCAGGTTCTGGGTGTGGGGCCTGGTCCACGTCCAGGTCCAGCTGGCTGCACGGGAGCCCCAGGCTGAGCAGGTGAGCAGGAGCAGCGGCTCCCAGAACTGGCACCTAGGAGGTGCCTTCAGAGCTTGCGCTGGATCGACACAAAGCTCCTTCCTCCACACCACGTCCCCTCCCCTGAGCTGTCCTTTGATATCTGTGAGCCAAAGCCAGGCAGCGATCTGCTGAGAACACGGCCCTCCTGTCGCAGGGATCACACAGGTGACACGCCAACCCTGAGGCCTGCTCCCCCCAGAGACGCAGGACAAAAGGACCAAGCTTCCTCGGGGCCTCCCTGGCCCTCTCCTCGCCTGCCCACCCCAGCCCCCTCCTAGTGTCCGTTTATCAACTACAGACGCACAAATTGCTGTCGATAAATATTTAACGTGCGGCTCTGCAGAGAGGGCTGGCGCATTTGAAAATCTACACACACCCTCGGCCCCTGGCTCCCACATGCCCCCGATGGTCCAGGATGCTTCAGGGCCAAAGACCGACCAGGGACCAACACAGGGAAGGCCGTCAGCCCTCCTCAAACGACATAAGCTGAATCCGAGGTGTTAACCCGCGGCCGCCGGCATGACCAGGCATCTGCCAGCCCGATTTCTGCCGGCAGGACAGCATGCAGATGCTGCCTTATGAGGCCTCAAAATGAATCCGCACGTCTCCTCACAGCTCCCCGGAGCCCGGCCCCTCCTGGCACCTCCTCTGTGCAGACGAGGAATGGCACTGGACATGAGGCCAGCCTCCCGGGGACAGGAGGAACCAGAATGAAGCCTGTCCATCTTCCCGCTATGAGGAGGTTCCTGTCCCTCTGGAGGGGGTGAGGGCTGGGGACACAGGCCAGGCAGGTGGGACAAGAAGGTGAGTCTGGAGAACAAGCAGTGCAGTCCCCAAAACCTGCTTTATCCTGCCACCTAAAGGCCAACGTATCCCATGACAGCCAGGCGCCCTCTCAGGTCTGCGCCTCGCATGGGGCTGGTGAGGAGTTCTCTGCTGGGCCCCTTCAGATACCTGACCCTCTGGCTCCAGTTCTTCAGAGAGGCACAGGGACCTCAGGGATGACATGTGTGGTGGCCACAGGACTGGGGTCTGTGGGCAAGCCTGCGGGTCCAGCACTGGAGGGCCYGGTCCCTCGACCCAGCCATAGTCCCCATTAGCTCACAGTAGCCCTTTCTGATGTCCCCAAGACATGACTGGAAGCCACCTGCAAGGCCAGGGCTTGCTGTGGGGTGGACGCCTGTCTGTCTTCGGCCTCCCCGGGGCTGGAGGTCAGCCCTGCATGGTGGGAACCACAGCATCTGCAGCAAGCTCCGCAGGGACACCTGGAGACAACCTGAGCCAGCCAACAGGCGACAGCAGCCTCCCCTCCCAGACAGGGGACGAGGGGCACGTGCAGACATGCTCATCAGCAGCCCATCCCCAGGGTGGCAGAGCTGGAGAACGAGCGTCCAGGCCTAGATTCTGGGCCAGACAGTGTGGCCACCCTGCCAGCCACTGTCAGGAGCCGACCTGGCCAGGTTGACATGAGCAGGAGGCCCACGAGGGGGCCAGGAAAGCCCCCCACAGTTCAGAGATTGCCCAACACCAGGGGGCAAGAGAGGGGACAGCCTGAACCTTCTGCCCTCCGGTGCCAACCCTGACTTGTGCCAGCGGGGCCCACAGCCTTCTGCCCTGTGCAGCCTCAACCTCTGCCCAGGTCTCTCAGCCCTCGTTTCTGATGAGCCAGACTGTGAGTGTGTGTGTGTGTGTGTGTGTGTGTGTGTGTGTGTGTGAGAGACAGAGAGAGAGAGAGAGAGAGAAAGAGAGGGGGGAGTGGGGGATATATAGAGGGGGAGAGGGGGGAGGAAGGAAGGAGGGAGAGAGATAGACAGGGGAAGGGAGGGGGAGAGGGGGGGACAGAGAGAGGGAGGGGGAGAGGGGAGAACGAAAGAGGGAGCAATGGGGGAAGGGAGAGGGAAAGAGAGAGGGAGAGGTGGGAGAGAGATGGAGGGAGAGACGGAGGGAGAGACGGAGGGAGAGGGAGAGAGGGAGAGAAGGAGAAGGGAGGGCGGAGGAGGGAGCCTACGGCGCTCGCCCGCCCCCCTGCAGCCCAGTGGCAGCTGGCCGCCCCGTGCATGGCAAGCAGCCGGGGGTCTGGAGAGGGTGAGAGGTGGAGAGAACAGGCTGGCAGAGCTAGGCTTCTGAGGCCAGTGGAAGAGGTGCTGCAGAGCTCGGCAGGGGGAACTGTGACAGAGGGACACTCTGGGTCCACCACAGAACTCAGCTGGGGGCCTCAGGGAGCCCTGGCCTGGGGCTTCCAGACGGCCCTCTGCAGGCCAATGGAAGCTGTGTCTGAAAACCCTGGCAGCTTCAGGGAAGTGGCTCTGGTGAGCAGGTTCTTTCTTCTACTAACAGGACGAGAGGGAGCAGGCTAAGGTAGAGTTGGAGGATTGGAGTTAGATCTTAGAAGGAACTTTTTGAAATCTGCAGACACTTCCAGAAATGTCTGGCTTCAGCACCAAATGTATTGAGGCTTCAGCATGTCATCATTGCTGCCACGGTGCCAGCCATCAAGGAGTGCCTGCCAGGGCTGGTCTTTGAAACACACCATCTTCAGGGGTAAGGGCATCTGGGGACAAGAGTGACACCACCTAAAACCCCAAGGGCCAGAGAGAAGGCTGTTGGCCAAGTCCTTAGGACCTGGGACCCAAAGCCCAGAACCGCTCCTGTCCTGGAACAACACAGGGACAGCAAATGGCCCTGGGCACTCGTGTGACCATGTGGGATATCCTAAGGCCAATGCTAATGATCACAGAGATATCGAAAGAGAATTAAAAAGAGAGAAGAAAGGTCAGGGAGAAAAATCGATGAGGCACCTTTAGCTCTGGGGAGAGAAGTGGGACGCGAACTCAGGCCATTCTGAGGCTCTGGCCTGACGCCAGGTCCCAAGCCCTTGGAAGGAGCTTTAGAAGGAAGTTCTGCAGGAACCTACCTCCCAGGGCCAAGGCCACCACTGGGGACAGGCTGGGCAGGGCCAGGTCCCAGGGGGAGGGACCTGGCAGGGCCCCGGCCTCCTCCCCAGCCAGGCTGCTCCCCACTGTGAAGATAATAGAAACCACAAAATAGCAATTACTGTATCCGAAGCTGTGAATGAAGAGGACAGGCCGGGCCTTTAAACATGGCCTCCCTCCCCCAGCCCTCCCCCAGCCCTCCTCCACGGCGCTCGCACTTCGGTAACAAACTCACACCTCACTTTTCCAATTATTTCATTCACCTCAGGTTCACCAATTACTCCCCCACGCGCACACCACCCCCTCCGCCATGCCAGGGACGTGTGATTGGTGGTGGTTCGTGGGTCTGTGACAACTGGAGTTTGTTGCCATGTTCCTAATTTCTTGTGGGTGTGTGGGGTGGGAGGGGCCCGGGCCTGGTAAAAAGCTGGTGTGCACAACGTGTTTGCACACAGGCCCCGAGGCCCACACAGGCACGTGTGCCCTGCCACAGTGGTGTGGGTTCCCCTCTGCAAGACGCAGCCCTGACCTGCCCTGCAGCCCAGGTGCCAGTGAAGAGGGCCGAATCACCTGTGCCCTCCCCAGGGAACAAGGGGCTGGGAAGGAGGCACCAGGAGGAGGGGGCCCTCAGAGCCACTGTACCATCTTTCCCTGCTCTGCTGCTGCTGAAGGCCGAGCGGGCAGGTGCCAGGCAGGCCCAACCGCCTCTCCCCGCATGCATGTGGCACTGAGCAGGGGCGCATCCTAAGGAGCCTGGGCCCTGACTCAGGACAGGCGTCCTGATCTCCCGCTGGATCTGCTGGCAGAATCGGAGCCAGCTGAGCGCGAGCCACGTGGGTTGCGGGTGCCCGCTTCCCACCTGCGCCAAGGCACTGCCACGGAACAAGTCTGGTCCACCCGAGGCAGGGCAGGGAGGTGGGGTAAGGAACAGGCCGAAGGGGAGAAACCCCAGCCAGACCTCCAGGCATTAAAAGCCCTTCAAATATGCCACGGCCACCATCTCCCAGCACACCAGAGGCACACACGACCACGCAGGCTGCTCGGCTTGTCCCCTGAGCCCTGTATGGGCCAGTGCCTGGTGGCTATGCACTGGACCCCCCTGAGTGTGGCACCATGCCCATTTCCAGGTGGAGAGAACTAAGGCAGAAGGAAGCCACATCACCGGGGAGCTGCCACTGGTCTCAGGGGTGCAGACTCGCCCGAGGACCACGTGCAGCAGTGAGCAGAGCTGGGCCCAAGGTGAGTGGCTGTCCCCGGGCCCGTGCACCTGCTCCTTGGGTTTATAGAGGCTGCCCAAGAGCGCCAGGTGCCAGGACAAAGTCAACGGAGGGTCAGTGCCTAGACTGGTCCCCAGGGACCCTGCGTCTGGGGGAGAGCTGCGGGCCAGACATGCTCGAGGACCCGGGTGCCCCCAATCCCACGCCAGGGTCTGCAGTGGAGGGTTCCTGACCCTTGCTGGCCACTCCCTGTCCCCGAGAACTYGTGGGTCAATAGAAAGCTCCCCTGGGTAATGGAAGCGGTAAGCTGGCCCTTGGCAGCGTCCTGTCTTGGGGCCCCCTTTCCTTAAGGAGCCCCTATGTGGCTTGGGGCCTGGTTGGGGCAGGCAGGGAGACAGGCCAATGGGACACCTGGAGGCAAACCCACCCCTTCACCCCAGCAGGTAGCTTCTGCCGCCCTCATCCCCACCATGGGCTCCAAGGGCTGTGCTACCTGGGCCTCCTACACTTGGGCCAGTCATCACCCAGGCTCCCAGGCCTCCTGCGCCCTTGGTGATCTCGAACTTGTCTCTTGGGATGCAGTGGTACCTGAAGTGCCCTGCCTTCTTCTCTGCCTCCTCGCTCCCTCCCCTCTCACTGTGAGGACCACGGTGATCCTCCTCCTYGGGGCCCTTCACCTGCTCTGCCCGTGCCCGGGGCCTCTTTGCAGGGGCACCCCAGGGACAGCTCGTTGCCACTCCACGCTGCCTCCGTCCCGCCAGCCACCTTGTCATGTGTGATGGCTGCCTSAGTGAATTTCCCCCTCCTTTTGCCATAGAGAGGACCCCGCTGAGCAGGGCTCCTCTACTGCTGTGGCCGCGGCACCCGGGGCTACCCGGCTCTCCCAAAGCATTGGGTCCCCGTCCTCTGTGCATCGCCTCATCAGGCCACGCGCTATGGAGCAGGCAGGGTCACACTAGGGGGCAGGCTGTCCAGACCTGTGCCGAGGAGGATGCTCTCTCACGGATGTGACCCACAAGCTGCTACCAGGACCTCCCCAAAGCGCCTGCCTTTACTCCTCCAGTCAGAGCAAATCGCAGCAAGAATAAAGGGGCCCCCTGGAGCTTTCACCAGGAGCTGAGAACCGTGCCCGTCTGGTGGCAGAGGACGTGGCCCACGCACACAGCCCTGGCCAGGTGTGCACAGGGCCGCTGACAGCCCTGTTAAAGAGGCGGCCCCTGCCCTGGTCCTGCTTGCCCCCTCCCGGGAAGAATCCCTCTGAGGCTCAGTTCTCCTTCACCCACTGCTTGTGCCAGGGAGAGCCCTGCGCAGGGCCACCTGGCCACCTTCAGCCATGTTCCCTCTCATCTTTGCTTCTTGGAGACTGAAAACGGCCTGTTTTCTGGGAAAGTGAGAGAGAGGCGCAGAGGACAGTGTTCAGCTTCCCTCAACAGCCTTTCCCGGAGTCCTTGCCAGGCAAGCGTGACCCTCTCGTTTTCTAGATGAGAAGTCCCAGGGCTAAGAGTGAAACAGCATCTCTGAATCGGAGCCGGGGCCGTGTTTCAGACAGACTGAGGCTCTGGTGGAGGGGACCTG